AAAAGAGCAAGCTGAGAAATCACCAAAATATTAGCTAATTTAAGTGTTTTGATATGCAAAGATAACAATTTATATTAACTTACTAGATAAAATCCAGAGGCGTTTTAACAGCATTACAGCAATTCATAATCCTTCTTCAACTCTACTGTAGCAAGAGGAATTAAATAAAATCATCAGTGATAACAGAAAAAAGTAGATGTTTCCTCACTGCTTCACACCCACCACTGAACACTGCCAGATTTGCTCTCAGCTGCTGCTGCCAGTGCACATGTGCAGAATTATAAAGAAACTTCCTGCTCACACAGATCCCATCACATTCTTAACAACAGTAGTTAATAAATAAAAAGGCTTTTGTATCTTGTGTAACAGTTAATTATATTCATCCTACTTGCCTCCCCCCCCAAAGCAAAGCTGTATTCCACCAACCACACATGTATAATTGCCACTACATCAGATAATACAGAACTTAATTGCAAAGGCATTATAATAAGTACAGCAAGGTAACAGACAGGAAGAAATTACCAGTAAAACTATGCAATTTGAGAGGTTCGCATTATAAAACCAAAGCAGTTTTACAACTGTCACTGCTGTTAAGACAGACTTTGGAACAGAAGTCAAGCTACTTCAGAGACACCAAAAAAGCAAACTATAAATATATAATGCACTTAATTTATTATACATAAGTTATCCTATTACATACATTTATCATCAGCTTGTTTCTCTGCCTCCCAAACAGCTAAGCAGATATGTACATTGGAACCCAAAACATTACAAAATGTAATACATTATCCATTCGCTATAGAAACGCTGCCTCTGTCATAACGATGACCACGTGCCACCAAAATAAAGGACAGTCTTAGCATCCCCACTGAAGGAGTAAGACGTTTCAATGAAAAGTTCAATTCTGTAGCAATGATTCTTTGAATTGCAGGGAGAAGGGGAGGGGGGAAGGGGGAAGGGGAAAAAAAAAATAAAAAAGGACTGCTAATGAGGTCTCCTCCACAACCAATTCTTGTCACAACTTGGTCATGACCAAATTTGAAGATACCACCAGAAATTACAAGGCCAGAAATCACATTGAAGGCTAAAAATGGGTAACCTGATTACATTAAAAGAGTGACAAGACAACAAAAGATTTAATGAAATGTGAAGTTCAGCAGAAAGGGGGAAAAAACCTTTCAAATATACATGCTTTAAAAAAGAGCATAAAGGAAGAAAGAACCACTTTCATACGAGTCCAGCTCTCATCTTTTCAATTTTGTCCAAGTATTATTATCCTACACAGCTGAGTACAAATTTTAATCCTGAAGACACTGCAGGGAACACTGAAAAGCAGAGACGTATGGAGAGAGCTGCTAGCGAGACTGGAACCTGGACAATCACTTCAGGGTTCCCACCAGATACTCCATCCTCACAGAGCAGCTGCCCCACCCAAGCGTCCCTCCACATGTCCAGATAGTGAAGAAAAGAAAACATTTAAAGCTCTCTATATAAGAAAAGCCTCTGCAACCAGAGTCTTTGTTACAAATATAATGCAGTATCTTTATTTTTAGCTCAAGTTTGTCATGTTTTTCTTCTTTTAAAGACAAATATACAGTATAAAATTTCATACATTCACAGGTGAGAGACCATAAAATTTTTTGCTACTATCACAATAGAACTATTCATTTCACTATAATGAGAATATGGTCCTATATCCAGTTCCAAAATATCACCCATTTCTTGTACTGAATGACTCCCATATGTTGCAAACATAACAGGTTTTCAGCACCATAATCACCTTCTACATTATGCTTTTGAAAAGTTCAAAACAAATCAGCTCTATAAAAAAAAAAAAAAGCCTGGTAGAAGACACAGTAACAAATACATTATCTTTCAGGCTGTAAGAATACACAGAATTCATCTGAATTGACTGAACTTTCATAAATCCCAATAGTTGCCTCTGAAGCCAGTACAAAACTGCAAAAACAAATCTAAATATACTAAAGCCTTGAGGCAGCAAGTCATTATTCACAGTTTTTGCAGGTAAAATTTATAACTTACAAAAAATAATAATCAGCAAGAGACTCAAACATTAATTGCCCAATTTCACTAACTTTCCAGGAAGCAATGCAAAATTCTCTGCCTGAATACAATTTTGACATGAGACATACAACCTCTCTGCTGAGTAACCGATATATCCGCCACTTTAAAAACTGCGTGACAAGTAACAAATCTCCCTCTTTCAGAGCGCTTCAGAGGATTTAATATTCCTCCAAGTCTCTATCTCCTCCTCAGATGTTTTGGTTAAAATGTTATTTTTTTTTGGTTCCTAAGTAACAGTCCTCACATCTGAAATTATTGATAAATGTATAACTGATTCTGCAATACAAGAAAAAAAGGTTAAAAGGTTTACCATCTTTCATCCTCACAGATCCAAAAACTGAGTTGCCCTGCAAGATCCCTGCAAGATGCCAATTCACACTCATCACAATGGCTAGTAGATTTTTGGTTTGTGTGCTAACATAGCAGCAAAAAATAATCTAGTGTTACACACAGAATTTAAGGACAACTTGAAGGTATTCTCTTACCGACATCACTTCCTCTTCCTTAAAACTGCAGCTTCTGGGGGGGGGGAGGGAAGGGAAAAACCAAAACAACAACCAAAAAGAAAATCTAAACTAAAAAAATCACCTCAGACTTGGCAGTTTTACTCACTTTCTAATGAGCCCTTGAACATTTGACCAGAGATCAAAAGGCTGAGTATTTGAAAAGGAAAAAAACACCACAAAAAGCCTTCACACAGAAAGCAGGGAGTTTCATGAAGCGTAGTAATGTCTATTCCAAACACATGGAATATTTCTTCAGCCTCACCTGCTTTTGCAAACAAGCTGTTACATACATTAAAGAGAAATGCTTCACTGATTGCACAGGTCTCATTATGAGCCACACATGACAAATGTTAATTTAAAGTCCTTTAATGAGGTGTTAGAAAGTCCTCCAACCTTACAAGCAGTACATACAGCAAGAGCCCAAACTAAACTATCATTTGCGAAACTCTGATGTTTTGACATGCTGTCCATGTCAAAATTTGCAAGCATTAGAAATTATCAGGAGCTCCTTCTAGTCAACTTCTTTAAATGCAACCATGAAACACTCGACTGATTTTTCTAAAATAGCACTGTAAATTTCCAGTTTGATGCTTTCAAAACATTGAGATAATTGTTTCCTTATTGCAATGCTGTCAAAGACAAGGAAAAGATCCCTATGGTGCTAGACAACATACAAAATACAGACAAAGCAGATAAAATCGATTTTAAATACCTTCAAATCTATGCAACAGAGAACATGTAAAGCAATTTACTAGTAATGAGCAGTAAAATAAAAAAAAGATAAAAAACAGACTAACAATATAGATGAATTTATTATAATACACAGCAACAAACTAGCTTTTTAATACTCTTTTTTATGCTGGCAGATTAAACTGCAGAAAAGACTGAAAAACTTCAAACCTAAATCCTGATCCAGTTCAACAATTTATTCCAAAGTCACATATTAACTATTCCATCTCTGAGGACACTCAGGAATACACTCCTGAAAAAAAAAAAAAAAAAAAAAAAAAAAAAAAACAAACAACTGTGTGGGCTTTTATATACTAAGTTTCTTTTTTTAAACAGGCAAGAGAGATTACTTGGTATCTACTTTTTTCATTTAATACCTTTTTTCCCCTCCTTGAGCCTGGCAACAATAAGAAATTTTGTCAAAATTTAAAAATGCAGACAGACCAAAGAACTGAAGAGTAAAAGAGCTGTGCATTAAAGTTCAAGTTGCAGTGTTTGACTGCAGCTTTTTTGTTTTTTTCAAACCTGGAAAAAGTACCCTAACACTGGAGCATCCCACGTTAAAGCAACTTTCAGTAGCAAGAAGCATTTACTCTCAAATGTTTAAATCCCTAAGGAGCTTCCAAGAACAATGGAAGCCCACACTGACAGATTCCTCAGAAGACACATTTGGTCACAGGCTAGAGCGTGAAGTCCACGACCTAGCATTCTTAATGCCAGCGTTGCCTTCGTACTGACAGTAGGTTTAGTGATTACCCTTCTTTAAGTTCTGGAACCAACTTTGCTGGCAGGGAGCGGCTAAGCTAACAGTGTCAGCGTGCCAAGTCCCATCGCGGGGGGGCTACGGCTGATCCATCGTGGGAGGAGGGCACAGGCTCGGCAGACAACTCCGCTGGAAGAGCCGAGAAATCCCTGCGGGCTGTCAGGGCTGCCTCGAAGGTCCTACGGACAACAGCGCAGCCTGGGAAACGAACGCACCGCGCTTGACAGCTCCCTCCGAGGGGCTCCGACAACTTCTGCACCGTGCCTGGCTCGTCCACCTCCGCTGCCCAGGCGAGGAAGTTCCCGCGCCCCTCCTCAGCGCCGGTCGCGGAAGGTTCCTGAAGCCTGTCGCGACATTCCCCCCCCCCCCCCCCCCCCCCTTTTTCGCCCCACATGCCGGAGGGGCGACCCCGGCCCGCGCAGCCCCGCGCATGCGCCCCGCCGCCCCTCACCGTTGCCGGGTGACTCGCCCTCCCCGCCGCCCTCAGCCCCCGCAGCAGGTTCCTCCGCCTCTTCCTACCCCGGCGGCCGGCGCGGGCCTCTCCTCGCCGCTCCGCTCTCCCTCGCAGGCCTCCTCCCCGCCGCTCTAACCGCGGTCTAGCCGCGCTGACCGACCCTTCCGTCCGTCCGTCCGTTCGTCCGTCGGTCCCCAGAGCCGCCCGAGCGCGCCTCCGCGAGCGAGGAGAGAGGGTGGCAGAGAGCGAAGGGAGGGGGGGGGGGGGGAATGTGGGGTGTGGGGGGGGTCCCCAACGGTAGCGGCGGCAACTGGCGGAAGTGACGCGCTGACTGACAGGTGCAGCGCGGCCCCCCCCCTCTCCCTCCCCTCGGGGTCACGTGCTGTGCGGGGCGGGGAGGGGGCGCTGGCGGCGGGGCGGGGCGGGGCGGTGCTGAGGGGAACCGGCCGCCGCCCCTCGGCCCCGGGCGGGAACAGCCGCCCGAGGTGGACGGGGAGGCTACCCGAGCCTCCGGCGCGCCCGGGAGCGCCGAGCAACGGCCCAGGGATCCGCTTTTTTGCTCTTGTTTTTAACCTGAGAGTGACTCAGCTATCCGCCGGCCTCGGCCCCTGCGGGCTCAGGGGGGGTGGCCGGAGGGTGACCGCGGGCCTTGGTGTCACCGCGCGGGCTCCTGCTCGGGTCTGCATTGATCGTACCCACGCTAAAATATTTCCTGTAAATTTTTCTGAATTAAAAGCGTCGACAGCGATCGCTCCCAAACACTCCTCAAGCGTAAGCACGCCAGAAGTAACAAAGTGCCCTTTGACAAAGAGCTAATGCATTTTGAAATACAAAATTTAGCACCCTTAAACTAAGTTAGCATAAGTTAGTGAGGAGATGCGAGCTTACACCAGAGGTGTTAAAAGCCGTGCCTGACAGTCTGCGGTTCCCACATGCCACGTTGAAACTACAACAGCTTTTTCTGTCATGCAGTGCCAGCAGCCATAGGTGGTGGGTTTAATAAAGCATTTAAGGAAATTTGGATTTAGTTAGTAAAAAAATCCTCTCAGGAAAAGGAGTGAAAAACTGACAAAGAATGTATGAAACAAAAAAAAATGACAGAAGTAGGATGGGATTAGTTGAAACTTTAATATTGCCAATAGCTGGGAGGGTTTTGTTTCAGGTTTTCCAACATGGATTCTAAATTTTATCTAGAGGTACATTTCTAAGACTCATTAAGAGGTTTTACATTTAGAATCCAAAGAAGGGAGTGTCAAAATCCCACAGTAAATTAGCCTGATTTTAATCATATCTAAAACCATATTTTCCTCCTAGAAGATTTGGTATCATTAGGAGGTGCTATACAAAAACACTAAAATGTGTAGGGTCAGGGGAAGCGACCTCTCAGCAGGTTCATATTTGCTGTCAGTCTGCTTCCACAACAGATATCTACACTTGAACAGCTAATAAAATCTCCTTGCATCAGGATGAGGTTTCCGAATTTGTATTTTGTATACATAGCTGTGTTCTTTCTGATTCATTTAGCCTCATCAACAACAATAAAGATACTGAATCAGAACAAGCTGGCAATTTTGTTGATGAAACATGGGAGAGAGCGGACTCCAGCTGGCTCTTCAGCAGATACATTGGCCAGTTGACAGGAATAAAACTGTAAGAAACCTGACACAGAAAACACACACGGGGAGAGGAGACAGACAGCAGAGGCAGGCAGGTAGGCGCTGCACAGCACCTGTTTGCTGATTTTTGAGTCCAAGACAGTGTATTCCCTCCTCTGAACTGGCTCTGAGTGCGCCATTTCATGCCAGCTTATCCTACCTCCTTTCAAACGCTTCCAACGTTCCTTGCAGGGGGCAGACATATGCAGTCCCAGGCTGCCATTTTAGTTTTTTCTGCTCACTTTCTGTTCTCACTGCCTGTTTCTGGTAGGTTGAGGTGAACCTGGGAGTTGTGGTTCTTTAGCCACTTTCTCTATGATAGTAAATTTAGAGGGAAGGGAGGCAACAACTTCATGGGCGGTTACATGGTTACACCCCCAAAATACAGCTGTTGAAGGTGTCTGCCTCTCAGATCATTGCTAAAAATTACAGTGGAGCAATGTAGTAGCTGTCCCCATCCATTTTCCTCTATCTCAGGACACAGCTCAAATTTTATGGTTGCATTTTGTAATCCTCCCACTTACACGATATGCAGATGGCCGCACAGCTTAGATGCCCAGCGCAGTTTCAACAGTCCAGGCAAGACAACACGGAGCTCGGAGAGGCTCCTTTACCCTCTCCAAACCTGCAGGCACACGCAGAGCAGCCCCAACAAAAGCAAGAGTTGTGCAGGTGCATGGCTGAAGTCCCACCATGTGACATAGGACTGTCACCCACATGTCAGGACATATGACAGTGCACTGCCTTGCACAGTGACAAGGCCCCAGGGTGAGGCTGCTCACAAGGAGAAGGACCCATTCCCCAGCTGCTGCACAGCTTGGCAGATGCATCAGGTCAGCATCTGGCTCCTAGGACCAAAGAGCCAGAGTGGCATGGCACCCTTGTCTCATCAGTAAATCCATGTCCAGAGCCACACCACAAAGGGTGAGCCATTTCTGTAGCTCCGTGTGTTATCTTACCAGTCCAGCTAAGCTGCTCGGCCTAAAAGTTTTGCAGAGTTTCTGCTGATAGGTGCTCAGAGAATAACTCAGTAGATCTGGAATTATTACTAGTGTAATTCCCTTGTTTTCAGGAAGAGCTATTCATAAGCACAAGTCATTATTACCGGTATATGTTGCAGAAGAACTGGAGCCATATTTCCTTCATGGGTCCCTGATGTCAGTCCTGACCTAGTATGACTTTAGAATAAATATTCTTTGAACACTTTAGTGTCCAAGCAAGTCTAGTTCCAGCAACAGCCCTGCATTACTCCTCATCAGAAATTGATGCAAATGAAAGAAAAATAGCCCTATCTGAACTGTGCTTATTGTTCTACAAGGCTTAGTACAAACTGAGCTAGAATACTCCAGAACTTAAATCAATTTTACAATGCCATCCAATCCATTGAAAGTTGATAGCTTGCCATGCAATTCTTTACCTTCATAGTGGGTCATTATCTTACTAGAAGGAAATGGAAATCTGATGCATAGCAAAGCAAGACACTGTCTGCTGTAATACCACTATACTATATGCCAAGAGTTTTTGCTTGGGGGGGAAATTATCTGTGTGTCAGCAAAGTATTTGCTTTTGGTTTTAGTTGTCCATCTACAAACAAATTATTTTATATACTCTCTTGGACTTGGAAGTGGTCAGTTTTTGTCCTAAATGGATCTTACTGGTATCTTGCAAAAATATTGACAAACATGAGTCCTTTCAACACTAAAGAAAAATTAGCAAACAGTAACACTTTCCAGCAGGTTGTTTTCCTTTCCTGTGTGTTTCATCCAGAAACAGAGACTTTACTTTGTTCCTCTTTTCCAGCATTATGAAATTTTCTAACAAACATTTGTTTCAGGATATCCAGCACAAAACACTTGGCTGTCTTGGACATCCGTAACTCTCCATGGAGGCTCTTGAATCAGCAAGTATCCAGTTCTCCTGACTCAGAGTGTTCAAAAGGGCACCTAAAAATCAAAGTCCATTTCTAAAGCTTTGCCCTGTATTAACAAATGAAGCTTCACAATGCTCAAACAAACAGGTGAAAGAATATATTTTATGGAAGCAGGACCTTCAGCACAGATGTAAGGATTTTTTTTTTAAGTTAGCGCAATATCAAAAGCACGTTCCGCACAAATGTCAGACATTTTTACTCATTTTTCTACCAGAGTTCTGTGATTAAAATAAACATTTACAGCATAAAATTTTTTTCCTGCCTTTGAATAGTTTTCAGAGCTGAATCTTGGTCTTGGAAGATCTGTCTTTAAAGTAGAGGTCTAGGAATATGGGGCAAATGTGACTTTTAAGGCTTGTTCACATTTTAATTACAGGGTTGCAGACTTAGCAGGAGATAATTCTCCCCTTCTTGAAATTCAAGACATTGAAAGGTTAATTCAATCTTCTCAGTTCCATTTCCTTCCTTCTGTTCCCCTTCCCACACCCCCCCCCCATCTGTAGACAGCTGAGTTATTTGAATTTTATGCAAGCTAGTATTCATCCAAAGGGAAAAATCATTCAATGTATGCATCAGACAAGCAAAAATTACAATATTGCACACTTTCAGTTTTTAATTCCTATTTGCTTTGCTCTGCATTCACCAGTTTGGGCTGTAGACAGGCATGAGCGCTAAAGCTAGTCTCCACTTAAAAGTTAACTTGAATTTAAGCTTGAATGTCCCTATCCCTTTTGAATTCCTCTTCTTTGTGCTCACAAGGTTCTATACTTAAGCTGCCATGGTACTTTTACCTTGAGTTGAGGAAAAGCTACAGTTCAAATTAGCACAATTTATCTGCTGCCAACACAATTGCTTTTTGCTGCTCCCATGTTATTCCATGGTGTGGTCACTCACACTCAAAGTATACTAACTCCAGAGGAGTCAGTTGGAGTGCACAGAGCTCAAATTAACCCAGTTATGAAGACATAGACTTACTAAGACCACAACTGATTTCTGTACTTTATCTATATTGGCAAGAAAAAAGCCATAGAAGTAGTCATTGACAACATTCTAGTTTGGTCAGGTTCTGAAGAGATAGCTGTTCACTTATGATGTTGCGAGAGGAAAATAGTCTCATCTTTTTTTTTTTTACATTAGAGAAGAAAAACAGCATTTAACATAACATAGTTGCAGTTTTCATTTGAACAGGCAGAAGTTAACAGATGTGGAACTTAGTGATTACTTCTTACATAATTGTTGACCTTGTACACAGTATGTAATACAGAGTAAGGCAAACACATAGGTATAACAAACTTATAAAATTGGAGAATCATTTTTGAAAAATATGATGTATGAATCCTCTCGAGAAGAAATACAAGTTTTTATTCTGGAAATTGCTCACAGAGATCAGCTAGAAAAGATACTTGGCTGCCTAGTCTCTTCCTCTGCTTCAGCAGTTTCATTTCTTTAAGCAGTTGAAAAACTTCAGGGTTTATCTTCTTTTCCCCAAAACATAAAACCTACTTAAGCTGCCAGGAGGTCTCAGGCTATTGAAAGTGAAATGATCTGGCAGCACAAAGAGAAATGCTGGTTAGACACCCATCAAAACTACATCCACAACCCTGTGTCCCAGAAGTCAAGGATACCACGCCTCTGCGTCTACCCCAGCACAACATGGACTGTAACGACAGACCCACCTATTGTCCTTTTTCCGCTGGGCAAAAAGAAAAGCTGAAGTTAATATCAAGTGTAGTAGATCTCTGGATTTTATTATTTTATCTTGGATTACGTTGGTTCCAACAGTGGATTGTTTAATTCCAGAGCAGCCAGCTGTACTGAGAAGAGCCACGTTTGAGCACACTCCCAACGCTCACCCAAGACTGCTCTGTCTTACTCTTTCCCCAAGAGCTGCTGCTTGCAAGAGATGCTTCTGTCCAGAGACAGAAAGGAGAGAGATTAAAAAAATGGGTGTTAGTAAAGACTGGAAGTCATGCTAAACTAGTGTTTCTAGACCAGTATTCATCACGAACTGTCATGTGCTCTATAGTGTATTAACTAATGTGACTAATATATCACATGCTTCTTTCCTCACCCTGTCTTTGGAAGAGAAGCATGGACATTTTGTATTAATTTCTTTAATAATGCATGCATGTGTCACCACATTTTGCTAGAAAAGGCCAGGCTGAAGCCAAGTCCTTCATGTTGGAAGACACACTTTTGGGTCAGTTCTCAAGAAAGTTCTGTTGCAGGAACCTCCATCTGGTTAAACTTCTGAAAATTCACCCCCATACTGAGTTTTGTAAGACCAAAAAAAGAGGGAGAGAGGAAATCTCCACTCCCACTAGCTTATGTTTTCTCTTTTTTCTCTTTGCTGTGATGGGACTCCTACTATAGACAGTTTAAACTCCAAAGCTATTTAGAAAACATAGGGTTGGAAAAAATAGCCCCAGCAGAAGAACTGTCTACAACTGATCTCTCCTTTCCCCCTATCATCTGTGTGCACCTACCCTTAAGGTTCAGTGGTCTCCATAAGGAAAATTACTTACTTTTATCATTACCTTAGGTAATGATAAAATATATAGTAGAAGACAAGTATCGAGTATTTACACCCCAGCAGTGCAGCATTACAGCAAACACTCTGCCAAAGAGAGATCATTGCCTTCCTTACACCCCCAGGATTCATTGTCTCTTAGCCTGGGAACCTGTCTCCGTTCCCAAACATGGATATTTTTTTTGGCAGCAGGATGGAACAAAAGGCACAAAGAGAACTAAGAAAACCCTTTCAGTGAAGCTGTACTCTTTTTTTTTTTTTTTTTCCCCTAAGGACGGGAAACCTTCTAAGGATAGCTTACAACACACCCAATCCTGCTACCTTTCTGGAAGGTGCTCAGTGTTCATAGGGACCTAAAGGATCTGGGGTGCTTGCAAATTCCAGCCCAGCTTTTGACCTTGAAAAATTAATCCCCCTACCTTTAGCACCAAAAATATCACAACATTTTGAAAATGAAATCACTGTTATATTTGAGTGGGTGTGTTATTTCGAGACAGCACTAATGTGATTATAAAATCAGTTGTGTCAGCTTATTGGCTCAGCTACAGGCACTGATCTGCTCGAGCGTCTGTTCCTGTAACCGGCTGCTCGCGTTAGGGTGCTTTGTCCCTCCTCAGCTCCGTATAGAAATAGATGCGATCTGATTCCCACCGTTGCACCAAAGAGAAAGAACCCCCTTCTTCTTGCAGTTGCCCACCTAGTCTCCATGAATCTTGGCATTTCTAGAGCACCTCTTGTGCCAAACATGAGCACAGCATCCTCCCGGCCTGGGAAAGGCTATAGCCCTTATATATACATATATACTTCTGTATGTCCCTGCAGCCCCAGCCCTGCGCAGCCTGGGCTCGCTGCTTCCAACTGACAACAGCCAAGGGAAAAAGCCGAGCAGCAGTGAGCTTCAAACCTCCCAGCCTCACTCTTCAGACATCCCTCCAAATTATTCTTTGCACTTGATCTCCCTTTAAACATTTCCTCTCACCTATTACTGCATCCTGGTAGCAAGTATTTGTTTTCCTCTGTTTCTCTGTGGGTGTCTGACAGACACTCAGTGGCTTGCGCTGCCAGGCACGGTTTAATGCTGTCAGTGGTGGGTGACTCACTGGTATCAGAGGTGTCAGTCCTGGCAGGTTTGACTCAGCCCTTCATCCTTTGGCAGCAGAATGAAAAAAAAAATTTCAATTTCCATTGTATCTGAGGCAGCTTTTCAGACACAGCTATACCAACATAGCTTTACGTGCTTTATGTGTATAGGATCTGTAAGGATCCTACAGTTTGCTTGTTCTGCTGGCTTGCTGTTTTTTCTCACTTCGATATGCTGGATCATTCAGCTGCCTCTGTGCACCTCAAAGACCATTGTGGTTCATTGCTACCACCGTCATCCCAAGGCCAGGTAAATGCCATGTTCCCCTTTTTGAAGGCGGTGACTCTGAAATCCTGAAATTAAAAACCTGTCAAATAACTGCTTTGCTGCTCATACAGCAAGAATATTTCAATTTCCAATAAAAAACATATGAGTAAAATATTACCTACCCATTTTTCCCTTCCATGACCAGCCTCAACACTGTGCAATGCCCTCAGGCCAAACTCCAAACTTTCCATACAAAAACTGCATACAGCGCTCTGTCCTACACAGAGTATGTGAACGTGAGACTTGAATCCAACATGAGCTGTGTTTGACCACAGTGTCATACATACAAGCTACAGAAACTTGGCAGGCACTTTATGCCATGGTCAAGATGTTCGTTATGGAGACGAGTATCTTCTGATTTCAACTGAGAGTGAGAGCGTGTCATTTCTCATCATTCTGTTACATGGACTAACACTGTTGTACCTTTCTCAGAAACCCAGCCCAATATCAATTAAAAACCCGTTCATCTTCAGCCTAAAAGTCTAAACAACATATCCCAAGATGTTTTTAATACTAGGTCTGCCAATAAATCAGGCAAATAAAATAGTGGTGGTGAAAAACCAAGCGTGCCCACCCTGTCTAATCGTGTTTAGAAAAGTGTGAGCTCTGCTGTGGATGTAAAGGCTGAGGCCAGGACTACACAGAAAGTCAGAAGGGAGATTCTTCTGCTTTGCTGTCCTGAACACTTCATTTGCTCCCTACATCTGAGAGAATTTGTGCCAGTCTAAAAATCTAAGATGTTTTGACCTTGTAATCTCTCTTCATAATAAGAATTCTAATTCTTACTTGTAAAAATGGACAAATATTTAAGAAACTGAAATTCATGAACTGCCTGAATTCATGAATCATTCAGATTGTATTTTAAAGTCTTTTCTGATCTTTTGATCTTCTAAATCTGGTGTCCAACCTAACAAGAAGAGGTTAATGCTCTCTCTTTAAACAGACACAAAGACTGTTCAGTGCCAAATCTGAGCTACGGCTTACACCGAATATTCAGCCAGTGGCCACCTTCCTGCTTATTCCCAGTGGGTTTCAGTCAAGAACACAGCTTTCTATTTTTGACAATTGGTTGAACTAATGGAGTGGAAGCAAGGGAACCGAGTCCTGACACTAAATATGACTGGTATGCACACACAGTGGTTTTGCATGGACAGCCAGTGCAGATGCAGAGGTAACCTAGCCAGCCTGCACAAGTCAACTGAGTTTTTAGTATAACAAAACTGTAGCTACATTGCTGCCAGGACAATCTTAGGTCCAGAAACAGCACAGCCAGGTTTTCACTGGGCTGAGCTCAGTGGGACCCAGACCATCTCTCTGGAGTTACAGCTGAGCAGCATTATGCAGGTTTTTCCATCACTACAGTATTCCATTCTCTTTTACCTCAGATACCACAGACATGGCTACAGAGACAAAATGCTTTTAGACTGATGTTTGCCAGGGCATGCAGCAACCCCTGCATTCCCTCAAAATATGGAAAATGGGATGAATAAAAGGAAGAATCACTGGGTCAAAAAGAACTACTGTTTATGAATGCTGATGAGGAAAAATAATTTTTCTGCATTTCACAGAATCATTTAGGTTAGAAAAACCTTTTAAGACCATCTAGTCCAACTGAAAACCTGATAATTATTTCAATTTAAGAAAAAATTGGAAGAAGAGGACCTTAAAACACATTTAAGCCATTTTCTCCATGCACACATATCAGACTCAAACCCCCTCTACCTAAGCCGATTATGCCAACAGAAGGATCCACAGCACCTTCCTGGGGCTCTCAATCAGCTGTGAGACATCTCTGCCTCCCTGAGCTCATTGTCCAGGCTCCCTTTATAACCACTAGAGAAACCCAGATACTCCTAGAGCACAATTAATTTTATCCCAAGTTAGTTGCTCCCTATTGACTACCATGGAGTCTAGACAAGTGATTCAGATGGAGACATCCAAAGTTACACAATGGGAAACCCACACCAGCACGTAGGAGGATGCGCACAGCCCTCCCCTCCCAAACCTGAGGGCCTTGAAAAAGGATTCCCCAAGTAGCTTTGTGCTGCAGAGCTGGAGCCATGTCACAGCCACAGGGATGTCCACAGCCCTCAACAGCAGCAGCTCTAGGAGGTGGCTACAGGTAGTGCCCATATCTAATACGAAATGTGTCTTGCGAATACAGGGAAGGGCTAATAGCTACTTTAAAGCTTTTTCTGAATTACATCACTCGGGACCTGCAGTGCATTCTCCCTTTGCTGCAACTGAAGAGATTCCCTGTGAGCCAGCCCGGCGTGGTCCACTCCACGGGGATGGGTGGAATAGAGGGAATGGCCACACAAGTGGTATGAGCAAACGAGGCTTCTTGCAAAGTGAAGGCAGGAAGGTTGGCTGTGGGCAGCTGCCTGGTTTGGCTTGTGGAGCCACACGCTGTCGGGCTGACGGAGGCACCAGAAAACGGGTCTGTGGCTACCAAAATGGGAGCGAATGAAAGAGACATTGCTTTTTCCTTTCAGGACACATTCCTGGATGCCAGCGTGGTGCTCCGGCTGTGCTTATTTTGGATTTGGTCCTCAACTGCAGCAGTTGTACCATGCCGGTGCTTAGAGCCCTCCTGAGTCCATGCATCTGCCAGCCTGGGCCAGTGCTGGATGATCCCCAGGCACGTTGCTGAATTTGCCTAAAAACTCCCCACAAACTGCAGCACCAGCCCTTAAATGAACTCCAGATCTCACCCTAACTCTGAACCTCAGCATTGTAAAAGAAGGGCAGGAAGAGAAACTTAAGTCTTAGTAAATGAGCAGAACAGAGGGGAAAAAAAAAAAAAAATCCCAAGATGTATTTTGGCAGTTTTCCATGTCAATTTTCCCATTTCCCTCCCTCATGCACTTTCTGCAGCAGCAATCTGTCCTTTCCCTAAACACTGAGCAATCCCAGCACTAAACTAATCAATATTAATAGCGATGGGCTCGGGCGGGGGGAGGAGAAGAGAGGAGAGGAGGGATTACCCTGACCTTTTTCAACTCACACTGCCTCAGACGGCCACCAAGCAGCTGAGGAGAGAGCAGCCAGACGGTAATGCCATGTGGTTTTAGTAGCTTTTAATTTTTAAATTTTTTTTCCTGTGAATATTTACTTCTGTTGTCTCAGTGCAGATAGCAATGAAATCTGATTGTCTTTGGGAAGAAAAAAATGTATTTATATCAGCCATCCCCCAGCCAAACCTTGCCTTGATGGGAAACTCCACTGAAATCAGGGGAATAAACCCCAGGCTGGATTTTGACTTGAATTTCTATTAAAAACAGGAATTGGCTTAGGGAAGTTTTGACAGGTGAAGTGTTGAATGCCGGTGTGCTTTGTGGATTTCTCTCATAATAGAGTATAATCAAACCCATTGAGCCTGTGACTGGGATACTGAGTGCTAGAGCAAACAAAGGGCTGGGTGAACCGGTCCTCTATTGTTAAGCACAAGTGTCCACAGCAGCTCATCCAGATACAGGGATATGTATGCACTCAGGACAGGGTGCTCAGAATTAAAGACAAATCCTATTAATTAAAACAAAATCATAATTGAAGCTCCTTGTTCATATTGGATTTGGGGTTTATTGTAAACTTTCTGGTTAGCAGCATTTCTTAAGAGAGAGATTTACATCAGGAGGCATGGTGGATTAGTGGCAATTAATGTATTGTATTTTCTTTACTGAGATAGTCTCATTTCCATGTGCAAAATATGATTTTTAAAAATTCTCTCTGAGAAATCTAGAAAAAAAATCTATTTATGTCTTTCCTCTTTTGCTCTGAAAGAGCCAAGCCTCAGGGAAAGGTCCCAGATTGAGGTGTTAGATTTGTGAGGGTATTTTAATAAACATTTTAATGGTGTTTTCCCATTTTTTCTTTCAAGCAGAAAATGTTTTGCAGATGGCTGATATCACAGCACGAGCTAATGAAGCCATGGGTGTGTTTTTCCTTTTTTCCTTTCTTTGTCAGGACTCATCATGTCCGACAAACCAGATTTTGCAGAAATTGAAACGTTTGACAGGACCAAGCTGAAGAAGACAGAAACCAGAGAGAAAAATCCATTGCCCACTAAAGAAAGTAAGTGCTTATGAGGCTATTTGAACTATGAGTAGCAAGGACACAATCTGTGTTGCAGTTCATATGCAAAATGAATACTAATCATAGGATTACAGGCTCAAACTCATCCCTAACTTTTACTGGGGATAATACTAAGATTTGTACTCTATGCTGGGCTTCCAAGGATACAAGTAGTCATAACTGATGGTGCATTTTGTCTGAAAAATCCTTTCTGATGGGATTGCTCTTGCTTATGCTAAAAGCAAGACCAGTTTTTCTGCTGATTGCAGGTAACAGGATCAAAGTGTTTGTAATTAGCACATTACCAATCTCTTTGGAGGCACAGACACACCGAAGTACCCTTGCACATCCCTGGCAGGCCAGGCAGCATCCCCCGACGGTGCCTGGGCTCTGGATGCAACATGTTACCAGGCAGATGAGCTGCTGCCTCCCACCGGTACCTGTTGTCAGACAAGAGAGCTCCAGGCACCTCCTCTGGGAATAAAGCTGTGAGAGAAGCCCATCCTCATCCTCATCTAACAGGCAATCTTCCTTAGAAAAGCGCCCCTGGGCTCTTCTCGTTCAGGGTGTCCTCCCGTACACACGCTGTGCGCAGGGTGAGGGGTGTGGTTCACACTCAACTTCGGATGTGAAAATAGCATTTCCCTGCATTTGGACCAGACATTGCGAGTGGTTAGTGATACTCTTCCGAAGGAAACCACCTTGGATGTGTCAGTACTGACAACCATGGAGACACACCATCCCTGACATAAGATACCTGTTTTTTTTCCATTTTATCATCCCTACCAATGCTAGAGCTGCAAATACGAGAGGAGGTTTGCACATCATGAACTGCACCCTACTAGCCATGCAGACACGGGAGCAGGTTGGCATTTCAAGGGTGGCCAAAGAAAGCAAGTGGGGACTTGCCATCCCCTGGCTTTAAGAATGACTGTAGAAATCTGTATCCTGTAGAATCATTACAATGTTTATTGATGGTGGTTTTGTTTCCTGTTTTTCTGGCAGCTATCGAACAGGAAAAGCAAAGTGAAAGTACAGCCTGAGCATAAAATTGAAGATGTGACTGCTGCTTCTTCAGTGGGGTTTTGGCTTCCAAGTTGGGTTGGTGGTTTTTGTTCCCGCATCCCATGTCTGTTGCCTATTTATTTTAGCTAACACTTGCTCATTTAATGTTCCCTGGGGAAGAAGTTTGTTTTGTGTTTGTTGAACAAGATACTATGTATTTGTATTCTTAAAACTGTAGTTCCAAGTTCTGTATCAACCCCATGCCTTGCCAAAAAAAAGCAATTTGCATAAAAATTGTTTTCTTAAACCTCACAATAAACAGGTTTCTTCTGATCAGCTGTCACTGAGCCTTGCAGAAATAGGGTTTACACTGCAACTCTTACTAGCATTCTTCTCTATTTGTTTGCATTGCTGCAGCAACTAGAGAGCACAGCCAGGTTAGGAGGAGTTGCCCCAGGGACCTACAGGTCCCCCTGGCCGGCACACAGCCCTGCAGAGCCCCAGACAGCACTGACACCCCCCCCCCCCAGGAACCCCCCCAACTGCTTTGCAGCAGCCTGGAGACTTCCCCTGTGTCACTCAAAATAGTGTTTCAGGGGAACTTGGAGAGACAAATTTTGTATGTTAGTAGCTCCTAAAATTTTAAACCCCCAGCTTGGCAGCAGGCATGAAAAAGATAGGAAGTTGCTGGCCTGCTTCAGTCCTGTTGAACAGTAGGTTAGAGGTCTTGTACACAAGCACCCGCCTACAAATTCCATGAAAAATTGATGGTTGGGCTGAGGAAACACTCAAATTAGCATCCCAGATGGGAGAAGGGCTGCAGTACCATCTCCACAGCTTTTTTTCTCTGCTTATCCTGCCAAGATCCCATCAACTTTGGGACAACTGCAGCACACATAGCCTTTGGCCCATCTAATATCAAGCAATATAGGAATGCAAGAAAGTGTGAAAAGGAAATAATTTATTATTGCACTGATTTTCTGGGATGAGAGAAAGACCTTCTGTAGCACAGGGGTGTAGGACACAAACCTTCAAAGCAAGCAAGGACTCCTTAAATCTTCATTACTGGTGGTGCAATAACATCCTCGCTGATCTGCAGAGGGCTCAGCAAAAATAGGCTCTGGTACCAGCTCGGGGGACTCTCAATTACATGGTATCACATTATCTCTGGAATTAATTTGCAATCATATTAGAAAAACAAGTGCTTACTCTGGGAATATAAACTGCTGTCCCTGGAGCTTCTGCTTGAGCTTACTTGCGCTGTGAAATAGGAAAAATTCTGTGTACTTCAACAGGGTTACTCTAGGTTTATACCTGCATAAGGCAAAGTAGAAACTGTTCTACAGGCTTCAGAAAACAGGAGCAAAAGGTTGTGGTGGTGTTTAGAAAGCTCTCATTTACTTAAGGGTTGTTTGACACTCAAGATTTAATGTAAATAGTCAGAACTGTAATTAAACAATAGCAGTGTAGGCACAAGATGGATGACTTTCAGTGGCAATGAAAAGTGAACAGAGGTGGCCAATAGACCAAGGGAAAACACACAGCATACAGGACTAGTGATTTCGGTTAGAACTTCCTTAATGTCAGTGCTATACAAAGGGCCAAGATTGCTGTTTCAATCACTACTCATCAGCTCAACAGTGCTACTGTTTTCTTTTCACGACCAAGTTTTTTTGCACATTGTCCTTTGAGGACCTCATTCCCATTGGCACCTGACTCTAAGGGAAGTTTTCAGGGTCTGCTGGATTTATTAATACTCATTATTATTTCAAAGGTGAAGAATGTGAAAAGTTGAGCAACAAGGAAAACAGTGCTATTTTCTTTGTGACTCATGCCCTCTCCTCACTCCTGCACACTTCAGAGTCAAAGAGCCTTTGACATTATTTAAATATCTGCTTTGATGGCAGTTCCTTCACAGAGAAAGCGTTCAGAGATCACACTTAGAGCAGCAACACCTACCGGAAACTCATATAGTTAATACTGTTAAACCAGATTATCCATTACTTCCTATAGGATGATTTTTAAGCACCATATTGCGCTCAGTGGGTAAGCCCACATAGACTTTCTCCTTTTTATTTTTTTTTGCCAGGAGACTGTTTCATTCCACATGACAATGTCCCTCCTTCTCTGCCAGTTCAGAGCATCTGCCAACTCACTCAGCACAATACACTGTAAATCACCAAAAACCTCTCTGGTGTGACTAAGCCAGTGGCTGGTGTCTGTGCCCCCAAGTACTCCCAGAATCTCAAGGTCTGGGTTATGTCCTCAAGCCTGCACGTTGCAGGAAGAAGGGAAGGAAGGTCTGGCCAGAGCAAGAAAACAACAGAGATATTCTCCTCTCACGTTTGCACAGATACAAAGGATTATCAGTGTGGCTCTAAGGAGTGATGTGAGAGACCAGAGCACTGTCTACAGCTCTGGAGATACCAAATTTGTCCAAGCACTTGGCTGGGAGCTGCTCCCGCTGCCACTGCAAGGCTCACTGCCCCCACAGAACCTTCTCCTAATTTAGCTGTTTGAATGTGAAGCCTGACACCATAAACCCAAAGTCTCAAGGCTTTTATTCACATGTCTCACCCCACTGAAAAGGCTACACAGACAAGAAACGCTTTAGCCAAGTTCCCCACCCCTGGATCCGACTGCAAAACCTGTAGAGCACAACAGCATACGCGGAGGCTGCACACCAGGAACAACTCCTGAGGGTCAAAGGCCCGATCTTCCCACTCTTCACTCCCTACCCCAGGTGGAGCAGGCTTTACGGCAGGGTCTGGAGACTGCTTCTTTCACCATTAGCAGTATAGAGAGTTTTAAAGTCAAAGACGTGTAGTTACAGTACCCCAATTTGAGAAGTGTCCCTCTCTGCTGCTGTGTGAAACCACTTCAGCTCAGGAACTGGATCATGAAAATAAAATTTGTCAAGAGCTGGGACAGGTCTGGCTCCCTGTTATCTTAGCCAAAGAGCATTACAGCCCTTATCTGTGGGGCAAGCTGGGGACACGGACCAGGAAGCTGCTCATAATTTAAGGCTGGGACAGTGAATTTTCATCATTCTAATCATTATACTAAGGAAATATTTGTTCCTGCCATTGTAAGGGAACTACAAGCCAAACCAAACACCTTGGCCACTCCTAGGAAACACCTTCTGGGTGTTAACCTACTCCTGACCTTCACTCCCTGGAAGAGCATCCTCCAGCGCTGAGGCTCACTGACAGCCACCCACTCCAGGAGCTAAAGTCCTTCCCCAGTCTCCATGCTGGTCAGCACCTGGTCTGCAGGCAACTTGATCAGGAAACTCAACCAGCTTCAGGTGGGAAACTTAAATACTTTTGCCAATTAGCAACAGCCCTTTGCTGCTTGGATTCTTTACATAACGAGACGTTACCTTGCAACTCCTCCAAAGAAAAAACACCTTCCATGCTAATCCAGTTACAACAAAAAAATCATTATATGCAAATAAACACTCGCTTTCTTGGCATCACCATGAAGCCAATCTTGCAACCTGCATCCCTCCTGGGATCCTGGCCAAGTCCACCTGCCCCTGTGAGTCACCTCTAATTGCTCTGCACAGTTGCAGCAAGCCCTGGCTGAGCAGAGGAAATCTGCATTCTTGTCGTTATTATACAGAACTTCATTGATTCAATAAATCTTGTTAGGCAGTCATTTTATTACAGTGAGAGCCAGGGAGGACAAACCCTAAACCTCACTCTCCTAGGAAAAAGGCACATGTGTGTTGTATCTCAGTTGGAGCCCAGCTAAAACTCCCTGGAGATCCTGCTGATCCCAGCTCAGATACCACAGACCAAGTCACAAAGCACATGTGGGGTTTTTTTCCAACTATATTTGGATGTTCTCTCTTATTTGGGCCATTAACCCCATGGTTACTGAGGCATCTCACAGTGAATCTTTAGGTCCAGCTCTGAAGCGATGAGGGCAATTGGCTTTGGCCACGTTTACCACAACGAAAACTGAGATGCACATGTAAGGCCAAGGCTGGAGAAGTCTTGGCTTTGGGGAAACACCTTTGTGTGTTTGTGCTCTGCTGGTGGTGGTGCTCCTTGACACAGCAGAGACCTCTTCTACCAAGTGAACAACAGGGGAAGAAACAAGGGAGAGATGTGAGGGAACACAAGGTCATTGGGATCAGGGGGCTGAGCTGCAGCCACGTGGGAAGGAGAAGGTCGGGGGGCTGGGAGCACAGGCGAGGGGGTGCCCACGGCAGCAGAAACTCGGGGCAGAAGAAGCCAGCCTGTCTCGTGCCTCTGCCCAGCTCCCCCCTTGTTTTTCCAAAAACACAGGGTGAAAACAATAGTCTTTTAAAAAGCACTAACCTTCTGGTGCCAAGCTGGGGGAGCCTCCCACACCACACACAGGCAAACAAAGCTGCTGTGTCCTCCCGGAGCCCGGGCACGGGCAGCCAGCTCCACCTGCTCCCACCCAGCAGGTCCCCTGGTCCCCACCGAGCTCCGGCCGTCCCAGCCTGATCCTGGGCACTGAGACGTGTCCCGGCATCAAAACCTGCTCAGCCTTGTATGTGAAACGCAGCGCGGGGATGGTTGGGGCTGAGCCAGAGTGTGTGGGAGCAGGTGTGTGCGTGTGCGGGGGTGTTTCTCCAGCTCAAACCCAACGCCGCTCAAACTGACAGCAGGGTAAGCTCTCGTTTCATCTTCTGAGGCGGGTATCTGTGCCGGGAAAGGCGGCTCCGTGTGCTTTCTGTCTTGTCAGAAGAGCTGGCTTGGGAAGGAACAGTTGCTGGGGATCGTTCACGCACATCTTGTATGCTGTGCTGACAACAGCTCTTGACAACTCCTACCATCAATTGCAAATCTCCCAACACTTCATGTTTGCTTTGAAGCCCGGCTCCAGAGCTCATTCAGCTGATGGAGAATCAGGAAAAAAGCGAGTGGAGGAGGGAGCAAAAGGGGGTTTCTAGCCAATGTGGTCAAAGAGGCATGTGAAAATGGGGTCTTTTAGGGCTCCAGCAGTAGGCAGTGAACAAAAAGAATGAGATTTCTCAAAATAAAACAACAATCTCAGGAATTTTAAGATGGTCTTATGAATTTAGAGGCCAACTCAGTATCAAATTTTTGAATTTGGCAAAGTTGCAACAAGCAGGGAGGAAAAAAATGATGTGTGACTCCAAGTGGGTGTTTTCAAACAGCATCTTGTTTGGGGAAAATAATCCCTCTCGGTCTGCTTTGTTTTCTTGTGATTCTGGAAATAATTCTCCTTCTCAGAGAGAAGAATTGGGTTTTTCTTTTTCTGTCTCATCATGGGAGCTACCCCAGGTCACAGCTGGTCCCCGCATCCCTCCTAGCACCAGAGTTACCACCTCA